ACACACACACACACACACACACACACACACACACACACACGAAATAGCAGATAAAGGTATATACGTATATAGTTGCACATTCTGCCAGTACAGGGTGTCGTTGTTCTTCTTCATCAAGTATTCTGTATAAACACCAGCTAGTGCAGAAAGACAGGCAGACAAGAGTCCAAACATGTAACCTTGTATAGGTGCTGAAAATAGTGAGTCACAAGATGCCTCTCCACAACCTTTCACCTGTGCATCATATTTGAAAAAATTATATAGGTGGTTAATATGATTGGTATGATCATCATTAGTTGAAGTTTGATATAAATAGGAATGAGTGGATCCAAAATATTCAAATGGCTCCATGAAAAACAGTATTCAGCGAGGATAAACAAAATAACCTTCGCATATTAGTCGTTGACATCTTCCTTTTTCCCATATTAGTCATTCTAATCATCACATTGTCTATCAGTCACCAGTGGACATAATTAAAGAGGAAAATGATCAGATGTCCTCCTCATGCTTGGATAAAGGTCCACACCAAATTCTTACCTGACTAAAGCCCCAAACCCTAATCCCACTACACATCTTCCTGCAATACTAGTGTCCCCTTCCTCAAGAAGCTTATATGAAGATGGAGCTCAACAATAAGAATATTTGGAGCGAATTAACCACTGTGATGGCCCTCTTAAAAGGATTTGTATGCACTAACCTATAGATCTTAGGAACCAATATAAATAAAAAGCCTTGTATAAAGCTCAATGGTGGGAAAAGATCTATGTAGCTAACTCCAAATAGTAAGAACATTATGACTTGTTGTCACATGAGGACAAGAACTAATTTAAATTTTATTTCTTACACATCTTATTTATTAGAAACGTATATCCAAAAATTTGCACATAGAACAAAAGCATGGATTAATATAAACTATTCAACATTAATAACCTTGTGAATACTAATGATTCATAGACGTAAGATTTATTTGCATCTAACAATTAGTAGAAAATTTTGTACACTTATCACCCAAAGCACCCACATTTGCTTGTTTGTCCCTCTAATATTGATACTTGAGCTTGTTTCATCCAAAAAAAATCCATTTATGGAGAAATACCCTTATCATAACATACCAACATCAAGAAAAGTAATCATCGCAACATGCCCTATAATAGTCAGCATTTGATGGGTACTAAATGTTGGACCATCTGTAAGTTTTTCAGATGGTATGTCTGATGCCAAAAGACATTTGAAACGCATTGTTGTTACAACTTACAAAAGCCCCTAATTCTAGGTCTCTCTACTCAGAAAAAGTTACCAGCAAGATTTTGTGTTCTAACCAATCCTGTTCCAACATGGAAGTAGTTTGGAATCAGCCAGTCCCAGTATTAAACCCCTTCAAGTTTTGCTTGCTGAGATCGGTCATGCAGCTCCTATTTAGTGAAAATAAATCAAGGGTTCATCCAATTTGGTGTAACAAATTAGTGGCATGTCAAAGCTCAGCTCAACAATTTTATACAATTTCATGGCAACTTATGAATCTCAGTTATGAAACAACTAAAATTGAATTGGAAATGGTTGGAACTGAAACAGCTGTTGAATCTATCCACAGTTTCCAACAGTAAGAAATGTCATAAACCATAAAGAAAAAATAAAAGCTCTTATGAAGGACCAAAATTAGAATTGATGCTGATACTCTGGATACAACATCATCATCAATAAATAAGACTTGCCAGCAGGACATGGTAGAACTTAGGGATCCCAGATAGAGAAGAGGAGATAAAATAGGGCTTGAGTTTCAAACAGTTGGAGCTCTAAAGGCATGGGCTTTGGGGTTCAATCTTTCAATGAAAAAAAATGGAACAGGAGCGCTTGAGCAATAGATCTTATTAGAAAGAACCAAACATTGGCGTACCAATATCACTTTACCCTATAGACTCCAGTAAAATTAAAAGAAAAAAGACATACTTCAAAACTTTCAAATAATTAGTGCAGTATGTTAATGGAAAAGAAACCACAAGTACCAAATGGAACTGTTAGGGCCAACTCTAGAACAGCATAGATTCAAACTTGAGGAATTATAGATCTCCAAAATAACAGAGCACCTGGCTTGTAGTTGTCCCAACAGTTAATAGAACAATCGCCATCCACTGTAGGGTTGACAACTTCCTCCTCAGAAAGAACCTAAAACATCAAAAGGAAAGGATTCCACTGCAATCACAAACCATAAGTTTTATAACAGAGAAAACGATTGAAAAGACACCATAGGAACAATGGGAATTTTTCTTTCATGTACAAAGAATATTTAACAATATACACTTTGAAGAAGACTTCCTAAAGATCCAGTGAGATTTATTTCTGATTCCAACTAACACCAGGAACAAATGTCATGATTTCAAGTGTCATGCTACAATAACATACTTCAACAAATTGTTTAAGCTGACCCAATTTGTGTCAAGGAACTAGCTTAATTTGCCTTTCAGTTCTAACATGAGTATATTCAGAATTTTAATGTCATATTTGTAGTCAGAATATTCATTCTTTTCATGAATTGTTTCAACTAAACCCAATGTTCATGCCACAGTAAGTCAATATTTGGAGTGGCAGCTTTTGAAAGAAAGAGCAATTAGAAAAAAGAGCTTTAACTTGCGTGGCAGTAACAGTGCTCTTATTTTCAAATGCTCAGAAGTAGATTAAATGTGAACTGATTTTTGTTAAAATTAATGTTGAATACAAACATAATTTTAAAAAATAACCTAAAATTAAACATGCATGCTAAGTTGTCTGATTGATTACAAGAGAATATAATGCTTCAATGAGAAACTAGATATTTTACATGATGACTTCACATTATGAGCAGTGTACCTGAATAAGATACCAGTTGTGACAATTTTCAAATTACCCATTATCTGATATGTTGATGGATCCACATAAGTCAAGGTAGCAAACTGGACATTGTTGTGAACAAGATAAATGATAGAAGGAATGGGAAATAAACGGACACTCTTCCAATCTGTAGTCATCCTAGGAGCAGAAGATGATGCTTGGCACTCCTTCCAAAGGAAGAAGCTAGATACCACAAGCTGAAATTTTTGCAGCAGGACACAGACGTTAGTAGAAGTGACAACCTATCGACAATACCTTCCTGTTAAGAGATTAAGTTGCTTGATAAAAGATCTAAAGTATGTTTGGAGTATATTAATATAAGAACACCATAAAATCTTAAATCATAATCAAAAGGTACCTTGAAAACTTCTGCAAGAAATGGAACCGTAGCATAGTCATATTTGTATTTTCCATGACTTTGTGACAGTGTTGTCAAAATTCCCTGGAACACAGACAAAAAAAACATATTTCTCAATTATTTCACTAGCAAATGTTGTATTTTGGAAAAATAAAATGAGACAAGAGTTTCTTATTCTTTTTTAATGAAAGTGGTTGACAAGAGCAAGAAATTCTAAAACAATTTCATACATGATTCACAAAGGACCTGTATCTTTAGATTGAAAAGTGAATCTGGAAACCTAGAGATAAGATCAGACTAAATGCTCATAAATTAAAGTCTAGTGTCAAACGAGAAATATCCAAATTGAAGAGTAGGTAGATTTACAGGAACAGAACTTACCCAATTTGTAGCAAATATAGCTACGATCAAGATGATAAGGAGATAAGATCAGAATAAATGAAACTAGATGTTAGTTTCATCCACCTCTAAAGTTCTTCATGGATGTGGGGACAGTACAGGATTTTCTTGAACAATGTAGTGAGTTTCAAAGTCGAACAAATTTAGAATAAAAATTTGACATTAAAGTCAGACATTCCATCAAATCAACATCATGTACACCTAAAAAATACATATAAGACTCAGATAGTTATACATGGGTAGCAAGCTTTTCAAGTTTCTTGAACATGATGAGCATAAACATAGAAACACAAGCTTTTCGAGTTTCTTGAACAAGATTCACATAAACATAGAAACAAAATATTCATTCACCTCTTTATTCATAACTAAACAAAGCCATGGATTCAAGTTTCGCAATGAGGAGACTGTCTCTTTTAGTATATATCATGACACTTGAACTCACCTGGATTGTTTGTGGTCTTAGCTTACTGACATTTTAGATTTCCTATAGCCCAATCATTGGAGCTAATTATTATGTGACTCATCTCCTAATTTGGCAAGCCATCTCGATCAGATTTGCAAACGCCACCTTCAAGATAGCCAATAATTCCACATCTTTGTCAGACTTCCTTCAATAGCCAAATGGCTTCCAGAGCAAACTACATAAGGAAGACAGGTAAGTTCTCCTGCCTTTTCCATTTTCTTCTACTTCTCATTTATATATATGAGCCGGTTGCCAAACTGTACGCATGATTTCTCGCAAAATAATCAAAGTGATCAAGTCTCATGAATGCATCTAAGAAAATCTTTGTGAGGGCAAATATCCTTAAGCAGGCAAATCTCAATATGATATTCATTTTTGCTACTAAGTCAAATGAGATTACCACCTGCGTAACAAATAATAAGTTTATTTCACTGGTAAAAGAAGCATATCTCCTGATGATGCGATGGTTAACACAGCCAGATTCTTGGTGTCACTAAGTCTAGCACCACTAGAAACCACCTTATAATATGATTTTCAAAGAAGAAAAAGGAAGATCAGAATAACGATAGGAACTAATGATTATCCTATAAAGAATAACAATCTTAGCCATCTATCCCTATACACAAAACTAGGTGAACAGGATTACATTGACCAACATAAATAACAAACAACATAAGGATGTTGCAAATAGATTATCCAAAAGATTCAAGATATTTGGTCTTTGATAGAACAAGGAACCTACCTAAAATCCGTCTAAGAAGTTCAAGATTGATTCGATGGTCAATGCAGCACTTCACGTGAACGTTTTCATGACTCAAAGTTCAACCTTATGCAGTAATATTATTGGTAAAATCCACTGTGTCATTTCAGGTATTAGAAAGTCTACCCTACGAGAAAAAGCCATCATTCCAATCGAAGCGAAAGATCAATTATTCCCTTCCCATACGGGGATTTTTCCTCCTGTCGTAGTATCCTAACCACCAGTACAAGATCTTCCAACTACCGCGCAAGAATGGACACCGATCTGCATTGCATAGTCCTCAAGACGAACTAAATTTTGCAAGTAACTCCAATCAAAGCTTGCAAACATCTTCAATCTTGACGATGCCACAAGAAATTGATTTAGGATCAGTACATCCAACTGATCAACTGACTAACGAACCGATAAAGATTACGCCACAGCTCGTAGTCGTCAATAACTAGTAAGCTTATTGAAATCTATCAAACGACCAAGCAAATCTGACGAGATCGGTCAAACTATAAATGCAGAGATTGAAAGTCGATTAGAAACCTAGGGTTCGTCTCGATATCACACCTGGGAACTGGTGAGGAGAGTGAGAAGAGCCGCTACCAAATACCAACGCATCTCCTCCCCTCTTCCTTTTCCGCCCTCCTGCTCGTCGGTCCTCCGCCCTTCCTTTTTAATTTCCTTTTTCCTTTTTGTTTTGCGAATTAATTAAAGACCAAAAAGTCAGTGCAAGAATAACGGTTCTACGTAAATAACGGGTTTCGTAACGTCACGGCCGTCTTTATCGTAAATGACATGGAATAAATCGTCCGGCTCACGGCCAGGTCGCCGCAGAACTGAACCGGGCGTGGTTTATTCCAACCTGGTGGTATATATATATATATATATATATAATCATTTCAATTGGTTTAGGTTTTTATCCTGCGAAAATAAGTCGAGATGCTCCAACCCAATTGGTTAATTTTGAGATGTTCTACACGATCGAATCCATAGTAATTAAAAGATGCAAAAGGTTGTAAGTAATGGCATGTCCAAAACGAAGAAGGTGGACCTTAGTGTCACAGTAAGATTACTCTGGAATGATTTGACCGATCATTGTTCTTGTCACCAAAATTTGGTATTGATAAGAATCACCAAACTTTGTTCTCGTCACCAAACGACTTTTTTTACTATGACTAATTTTTAAACATAGACTTGATAATAATATGATAAATTACACCTTAGATATTGATATGATATGATAGAGTGCCAAATTCGATGTAGGTTCAAAACCCCTTCAAATAAGATACTAACGAATCTAGCATGTAAAAATTGTATTAAATCAACACATAGTTCTAGGGTTAAAACCAACCTTTCCCCAACACGGAAGTTATATGTTCTGAAAAAATAGCTAGAGAGAAGATTTAAGATGAGGGTATGCTCAAACCATGATTTAAGAAGGCAAATGTTTTATCAAATCTCAAATAAGGTAGGACCAACCAAATTGAATGCCATCTTCACGATCGACTGTAGGACGGTATTCTGGGATAATTTCCAGAGTTTAATGTTCCACAAAAAATTAAGCAATTAGCATTAATAGTCAAGACATCTAAATGAGAATTGCAGATGATTACTTGCTACGAGACCACATCAAAAAGCAAAAACTCCACTTACATCCCAAAATTTTAGTAGAACTAAACCTGGAAAGACAAATTGATCTTAGAGAGAAAAACTTAAAAGACTCGCCCACCCTAATCAAACAAGCTAAAGCCCATATCGTCATCAGATTCCTCAGCAGGCTCCTCTTTCTTCTCTTCTGCAGGTTCCGCTGTGGGTGCCGCTGCAGCTTCTGCAGCAACAACAGGAGCAGCAACAGCAAACTTGCTTGGATCCTGCACCAATTATAACATACAGAATTATGACGAAAAAAAATAGATCTAAGATCCATAGCTAGACTTGTGCAATCTACCTTTAGGTATTCCTTAACTTTCTCCGCCTGTGGGAAGGTGTACTCGGTTGCAATTGCAACAGCAAGCACATTCTTGTATGCATTGATGAACATGTGGGGTGCTGCTGCAAGTGTTGGGTAAGAAACAGCCAAAGACAATGAGGTAACCATGGAGATACCAGCTGCAAACTTTTCGATCAGGTCATCCTCCGAGAGATCCAGCACCTCAGGACTGAAGACGGATCCATTATCATAAACAGATAGAATGACAAGGCCATATGAAAAAGGTCTTATCCCAAGCTTTGCAAGTAGAGCAGCCTCAGATGAGCCCACTTTTTCTCCCTTCTTAATCAGCTCAACAGGGGTAATGATTTCCACAGTACCCTTGTTAATCTTGGTTGGAATATTAAGCACCTGTAATAAAGCAAAAGGAACTTTAAGATGAAACCACAAACAATTTTTTGCATGATAAACATGAGAGATATCTTGTTAACCTGAAAAAAAGATGTCTGTGAAGGGTCCAATCCAGTGTTTCCAGGGGGGACAACAACATCAATAGGAGCAACAAGCCCAACACGAGCAGGAGCTCCAACCTGAAATATAAGAACAGAGAAGAAATAGAATGCTAGTTCAAATTTTATCAACTAAAGAAAGACTACAACTCCACCAGCCATCCAACATTAACAGCAGCAGATCAATACTAAAAATGTAAGCAGAAATGGAACATAGGGAAAGTGGGAGAATTCTTGATCACAAATTTTAGACCCACATGTTTTTTATGAAATTATAATTCATCTCATCTATTCCATTAATTAACATATAATACAAGAAAGATCTTTCCTAGCAAAGGTTCTATATACTGAAAAAACAAAAGATACTAGCACACGAAAACACAAGGATCTATTAAGTCAGGAGTCAGGATGCATGCCCCAAGTGTCCGATGCGACTAGGGACATGATACAGAGCAACAAAGGAGAAATGTTGTTGATATATTTTACAAGGACAATGCTAGTAGCTGATAGAAAATTATAAAACAGGGTGAAGAAAAGTTTTCATAACAGAAGAGCACTTGATACTTGTCATCAGCAAGAAGCTCAGGACATGTATCCAAAGCAGTCGCTGCATAAATTCAAATATGCAGATATATATGATGTATCATGCATCCAGCATGATCTGAAGAGTTGATACATTACCACAAGTAATGTAGCTAATGAATCTCTATGATGTCTCTCGTGTTGTCTTCTTAGATGGAAAGTTGAACAAAAGAAAGTATTCAAGCAATCACAAATCTTAATTGAAACCAAATGAGATTCAAGATAATTATTATATTGATGTCTCCCAGTACTACACACTAGGCAAAAGTGTTTTCTTCTAATCCAATCACAAATGAGATTCAAGACTAGCCTACAAATGTCTTAAATATTGTGCATCCATGTGGCCAAAAGGTATCCACAACTTTCTTATGATAGTATAAATTTAGAATGACTACTCAATACTGTCAAAGGAAGAACTATGGGCAAGACCAGAGATCTCATTTCTGTTCTGCACAATTCCAATATACGCAACATGCAGAAAAGTAAAGATATTTCTGATACCTCTCATTGTATTGGATATGTACATGTAAATAATTTAAGAAAATAACCTAACTAATAACTTCGATGATGAAATCTTAAGGCCATAAACAAATGACAAACTAAAAGGCAAATTCAAAAGTAAAAAGAAGGGGTTCTTGAAAGCGTGCATACCTTATACTTGGCAACCTCCTCACTAACTTCCTTAAGATCGCCTTTTGTAAAAATCAGACCTACATTTCCCTGAAACAAAAAGAACGAAGTTGCAATTGTCAAAGCAAACAACTACAGATGGTTAAGAGAAAGAGATCTCGATCATAAAGCCGCGATATTTCCCGGAAAGACAGAAGGATCAACAGATACACGAGGGAGGAACTTACGACGAGGAGAGGGAGGAGGTTGAGGTAGTTCTTGTTCCCGGTCTTCTCAGCATGGATCCTGATGCAGCGGCGGATGAGGGTGTTCTTGCCCATGAGGACGATGGAGTCGCCGCGGAGGCCCTTGCGGATGTTCTGAAGCTGGTTGGAGCCGACGTTGTCTGCGACCGCGATGAGCACCTTGCTGTACTCGTCCAGCAGAGAACATAGCTTCTTATCGTACACCACCTTCTTCTCCGCCTTTGACAGCTTCACCGTCATCTTGCCTTGCTTGTTCGATAGGATCGGAAGCAAACAACAAGAAGAAGAAGATACAAAAAGTGTCCTTTACAGGGCCAGGCCGAGGCTAAAGCTTCGTCAAGGCGGACGGGGCCGGGCAAACCCTGTCTCTTTAACCCTTTGCGATCGAAGAGAACGAGAAGGACGGAGATGGAGACACTGAACAGATGACGGCCACGAAACCCTAATCGCCTGTTCCCCTTCATTTTATAGAGACGGGAAGTGATCGACATGAGATAAGATGCAAACGGACGGTCGAGATCGAAACATATTGAGTCGGGGCGTTTTTAGATCGGGCCTTCACCATGTGGGCTCCTCTGCGTCGCTCCGTCGCACATTCAGTTGCGACCGTCTGTACGAAACAGTTTTTCGACCTGTTAACTGCAGCTCGTTTGTTTACCAGTCTTTTCGATGGCGAATTCTGCTACAACGAATGTGGTTCCCACACTTTCGTAGTTCAGATGAAATTTCTGGTAAGTCCAAAAATATTCGTGCGTCGAGCGTTGGCTGAACACCACTGTGATCTTCGATCGTCTCTGTTCGTCGCCACTGTGATAAGTGACGCCTTTGACATGTTCGAAGGAATGCGTCAAAAGAATATGAGTAGAGTACCAGAATACCACCATGCCGCTGGTGCACTCCGTCGGACTCATCGGCATCCTCTTCTTCTTGATCCAGGTAATTAGATTGCTTGCTCTGTTCACGAGGTGCAATCTTTTCTGATGCTCTTCGATTTCTATCACCTTTAATCATAAACATAACAAGGTTGTCATGACCGGTTGATTGTAGATGGAGAAAGGATACAACTGCAGGCTACAAAGGCATGCTCTCAACACACGGATTCCTGGGCCAGTAATCTTGGTCGTTAGCTCCATCCACAATGTGTCAGATCTACGAGAGAGCAGATCACCCAATCGTAGTCAGAAGACAATTTGTTATCGGGGTTGGTAAATTTTTTTTTAATTCCTTGAGCTAGTATCCTTGGAAGACAAGAAACTCGAGTATCGCAAGAAACTTTAATGAGGATTTGATTGTTCTAGAAATATCTTGGTGAGATGAATGCACAGAGGAAAAATACGAAAAATTCTTTAGGATTTGTGTGAGGGGTATACTAAGAGGCTTAAGCCTAAGCTTCGATTAATATAAGAGAAAGAATCATTCCTTATCTCTTATTGACCTCGTCAAGAAGAATTTGATTTTTCTTGATAATAAGTGCCGAATCACTTAAATCTTGTATTTTGATTGTTGATTCTCTGTGTCTTTCTTTTGGTATCGATCTCTTCGCTTCACGGAGAAAGCTTTTGATATATCATAAACCAAAATTTCCATCTATCCAGTCCACAACCTTTGAATCATGTGGACAATGATTTGTTTTGGCAGTGTTTGGTGGTGATGCTCTCATTCTAGCTTGTGATGGGAAGTAATTATGGAGCCTATGATTGTTACCTTCCAAATGCTCTGAATCTTTCTTCCTCTATCTGTTGACTTGATATTGCAGTAAAATGTGTTTTGGTTTACTCCATTTGCAAGACCCGCATGATTGACAACCATGGGCAGCATAATTATCTTAATTTATCTCCAATGGTTTAAGGATTTGCTTTGTCACAACTAATCTTTTTCACAGTTAGTTGCATTGCATGGATTGCATAAGCTAATCATGTTTTAAAATGTGTGATTAGATTGATTCATCACATGCATCTTTCAAAAAAAGACAAGTTCTATTATATCCTAATATAGACCTAGTCCCACTTCATTGAGCCAAAGCTCCAATGATAAAGAACTGGTTGAACTTCAATTTTCTGGTGATCAACTTCATTATACTTCCTTTTTTTTATATTCAATCGATGAATTCTGCTTCATATTGATAGGAAGATAAAAAATGTAATGCTGTATGAATGCTTGGCTGCCACAAGCTAATTATTCCTATAATAACTTTTCCGACACCTGTAGCTTCAAATTACAATGTCTAAAAGATTGATGGGCCACACTTTCATGGAAAACTTCATTATACTTTTTGTTAGTGTGATGTGGATTCAGGAAGTTGTTTAAGGTGGTGATTAGTTTAGGAACTGCAAGTTCTCTTTATTTGTGTTCTTGTTGAAGAGGTAAAGCAGTAAAATTTGAGGTACTGATTGGTCAAGATGTTAGCTTTAGATTGTAAGCACAGCATCAATTTGCCAAATCTTTCTTTGTGGACAAGATCTATGTTAGCACATTGAGGAACCTGTGTTACATGTCCTCTGCTGAAAATTTTAGGACTGTCTTCTTAGGGTGTGCCATCAAGTCAAAATCTATGGATAAGTAGCACTCTAAGTTGCAAATTATTATCTATGAAACTTGATGAAAAAATAGGTTGGTAATTGGCTTAAAATATATAGTAAGGCAGCACTGGCTGATCTTGACATTTTTATTAATCTCCTTTAAAAAAATAAATGCATGACATATTCTGATATAATGAATATTTTGATCCTAATTAGTCAAATCCCAGCAGAATAGGCTAGTTCATTTATGGCCTTAATGTCAAATGCCAATAGAAAACATTCACTTAATCAAATCTGATAGGATAATTTTTTCCCTAGCCATATACAATCAGGACTATAAAAATGAACCCTTCTCATGTATGATACTCACCCTATATTCATTTTTTCCTATATCGATTTAATTCTAACTTGAGTATCATAGGAGTCTTACCTGGTATTAATTCTGATACTAGTTTTGCAAGACCTCGACATCTTAGATTTTACCACTTCTGTGCCTCAAGTCGAGCCACATCTGGCAAAGTCATATAAGTAATTCATCTTGGTTAAAGTTTCCTTAGAGCTTGGCAAATAATTGTGACATATTTTACTTGGAAAGTGGATCAGATGAATCAGATCAGGTTATGTGGTTGATGACTAAAATTAGTACTGTCATATTATATGGGGATAGGTTGAGGATTAGATTGAGTTTGTCCCCCCAACTTTTGTGATATAGATGCCATACTGTTGATCATTTGTCCCATGCAGCCACCCTCTCCGTTTTTAAACCATTTACAGTTCTTTTTAGAAAACAATAAACTGATTGCAATCATCAACTATATGTCTATCACTTGCATGTGAAGAAAAAACAATTTATTGGCTGATACCATAACCTCAGTAGATCTGTTAGCAGAAGATTATATAAGAAAAAAAAAGGAAAAGGAAAGGAAAGTGAAGGATAAAGAGAAACTAGAATAAGTTCACTGTAAAGAGAGTCCAAAGACTTCAACATGAAATCCTTGTCAAGAACCTGAAGAAATCATTACTGAGCTATACATCATTGGAAATCTCTCTCTCTCTCTCTCTCTCTCTCTCTCTCTCTCTCTAAGAAATATGGGAATATAACTAGCCATTAGGATGTATAAGGGATGGAAGTACAAGGAAAATAATGTTGAGAAACTTCTGAACATTGAACCAAAAAATGGAAAGGTGGTGGTTTCTGCTTGAAGACAAGCTTGTTGTGAATTAGAGTTGCAACCTATTTTGGTTCTTCTAACTTCCTCTTTGTCTATATGAAGATTTCTTTACTTTCCTATGACAGGGGTCTTTAGAATTTGTTAATACAGAAATTTCATTACAAAAAATGGATCAAATTGTATCATTTCGATGCAACTTCTTGATTACCTTTTTTTTTTCTCTCTTTTTTTTGTAGTGAGGGAGATCAAGTGACTGTAACATTGTCCATTACATCTTTACAGCAATTGAGAAGCTTGAAGGAAAATTTGATTTCTTAGGGATGGTTAAAAGCCTACTTAAATTAGATTAGGTTATATCCTTCATTGAATTTGAAATGGATTTGAATAGAAAAATAAGTCCACAAGTATATGTTACATGCTAATTAGGCTTGACACCTGAAACTGAACCCAAGTATACAATACAAGAGAATAGAGAGAAGAGCATTGTATAAATATTACTTAAACACCGGAAGAAAATATAAATGAGTGTATACATGGTTCGTCATAACTATTTAAATTTGGGTTACCATTAAACCCAAAAGCATAAACTGGTAGGAAATAACCCAATGTATATATAATACTTTAACATCCTCTCTCATGTGTCAAGTGCAAGCATAATTGATCCTATTTATATGGTGCAAACCTTGCACCGGCAACATGAAGCTGTTAAGCTAACACCCTACAGGAGTGCCAACAAAAGAGCATCCCTGGTGGGTTTCCTCGGTAAAGAAAATGTAGTGTATTAGCAAGTATTATACAAGTGAAAGGGCAATGTGTTTGGTTGGCAAGAGAATCCAGGGCAGTTGAGGAAGATGGCCTGTTTCATTCAAGCTTGTGACACACATTTCCTCTTCCTGCTTCATGTTGAGTATAAATAGACCATGCAGAGAGAAGCCAGCATCTCATGTGTTGGGTGACCACAAGAAGGCAGAAGGCAAGCAGAGGAGCAGGTGGCCATGGCAGATCACAAAACTGAGCTTTACTTTGTCTTCATGAACTTTGATCCAGTCTACGAGCACCTTCGTGCCGATCGGTCCGTATCTTCTGCTTCTTCTTCTTCTTCACCTTCTCTGAGTTCATAAGATCTCCTGCATGTTTAATGTTGCTTCATTAGATCAAAGGAAGGCATGAAGGAGCTTGACACCTACCTGAGCAGCAAGCATGACCAGCTACTTGCAAAGTTTCTCCCACCAAGCACCTACAAGAAGAAGTCCTCCTTGGCCATTGTTGATGGCTTCTCAGTGGAGACAACCAAAGAGCAGGTACTCTTCGTTGTTCTGCAACACTTCTTGGTCATGTCATCTGCCACCAGTAATGGAATGCGATTTGTTCTTGTTGTCATCAAAACCTCAGGCAGCCATTCTTAGATCTGCAAAGGAGGTGAGGGTGGTTGAGAAGAACCAAGAACTTGCTTGACTGCATGAGATATGTGTACAACTTTGGAAAGGATAATACATTTGAATCTGTAATAGTCAGTCTGAGAGTTGCTAGGAAATTTCATAAGCTCTGTACATTGTAGTCATTGCTTGACTTGAAGATCTTTTTATTTTGTCTGTGAATCCGAAAGTTTAACACGATCTCAATAAAAAACTCATGTTGTGGCTAATGTTTTTAAGACCATCAGATCAGAGTATCTTCAGAGGAAAGCTACTGAGACTCCGAGATTGACTGACCATCAAATATGTTGGATTGCTAGCAACAAAACTACAAACAAGACGGTAATACAGATGACTCACAGCAGTTCAATACTCGGTATTCTCTCTTGTGGAATCCTGAGTGAACATGTTGATCACTTGAGTGTTTGAGTTTGAAGAGGAGACATGAGAGTTGCACAAGAAGGTACACTAGTTTCAGAAACATCAGTAAATTGTTCAGTGATCAGATATCCAGCTGAAAAGTATTCATGGTAACAAAATGCAAACATCAGTAGCTGCTAATTGTGAAACAATGCAGGTAATGCATCATGGTATCAGTAAACTCATCCCAAATCCCTAAGAGACAAAAGAACAACCAATTACATCATCCATCCACTTGCTACCATTAAAAATGAGCTGATGCAAGTACAGGGTGGTTCCTTAGTACATATCTTGTTATGATCAAATACTTGTATTACTTTCCCTGTTTGTCCATGCATCACTATCACCTTACTGCTAAACTTGAAGTGAAACACCTTGGAGATAGTATTGATCTGGATGACATGATCTCACACTTAAACTTCCAGGCTTTGCTCTTGGCACTCTTTGATTATGATGACAAATGAGAATAGTAAATATCTTGAATAAAATGGCAAAACAAAAAGAAGACAAATGTGCCAAAATGAGGTGGAAAAAGAGTAGTGGTTAACTGGTTATTGCCAAGGCAGTGGGAAGCAAACCCTGCTACATTGAATTCACAATCATTCTGAACACAGCTACAGGAACTGACAGTCTAGCAACAGGACTGGATCTCTATCAGAGGCCACTAAGAGCTAAGAGATCAGTAAGTGTGGGCCTGTGGGGCTCTACAAATTATTGTGTATCTCTAAGCAGGTTAAGTGAAGACATAGTCAAAGCTGCAGGATGCACATAGGATGTGTCAGGAACTCATTAGACATGAATGTTGAGCATATCATGATACATATGTGGAACAAATCTTTGAAAGAAAGCTCACAGAGTATTCAATGACCATAGGTAAAGATACAACAGAAGTATATGAAGAAAAGATATCAGTATCAATCTTTGGAAGCATTCCAAAGTGAAAGAAGCTAATAACATCTCTTTGTTCTGATAGTAAGTGTAACCAATAGGTTTGTAGATCTTTAATAAGTTAAAAGCAAATAGAGACCAGCTTTTGTGTATCTCTACATGCCATTTTTCCTTGTGCTTTTGTAAGATGGATTATATCAATATCCATGGTCACATCTCTTTGTTCTAATCACGACGGCGACAAATAGATTTGAGTTAAGCTTAGTCTCAAGTAATAATGAAAAACCAGATAGCTAAGATGGTTGCCAAACAAAATTAAAATCCACATGACTTGCAGCTTATTAGGAAGAACAGATTAGTTCTGAACAATTATGAAGTTGTCCAAATTATATGGCTGTATGCAGAAGTACATGGCAAGAATGAACTCTGTTACTACAGAATACCAAACAGAGCTACAAAGAACTCTGAAACAATCAGACACAAACATCTCAAATTTGAAGACTAATAATAATATACTTCCTATCAATATAAATGTTACATAACAATCTATTAAGATTATCTACACTGACTCTTCCTAGACCCCTCATTGGCGAGAGACTTGTGCATTGAATACGTCCTTCTTATGTGTGTCGAAGGAACTGTTTGAGATGAGAATCAACTTAAAACAATTGGATAAAATTTGAAACTGTTGGCATGAAGAACAATGAGGAGTAAGAACAACCATCAAGCACAGATATTATAGCTCAGAAAACTAAATGCTAAGTTCTCTCATGATTTGTGCTGCATATATAAACCTAAAAGTAATGGATTTACACAAGTAGCACATGCATGTCTTTGCATAATACAAACACAAGTGCTTTCACATACTTACACAGATACATCATAAGCTTTTACTTCATCATTGCGCAGAGAGTGTCACTACAATCTCCAGAAGTAGTTTCAAATGTCTGGAATGTGTAGATGCAGTCAATGTAGCAATACCGCAATGGAGGACACTCATCATAATCTCAATATGCAGGTCAAACTCCACCATGGTAAAGCAACTGTCAGAAGCTATCCTCTGCAAGATCAAAGTTAGAACCTAGTGCCCTGCATGAGGGAAGTGGCAGGTCTGTCTCACAAAGAAATCTTAGTGACAAACACATAGTAATGATCACCCACCACAAGAATGCGCAAAAGATGATGTCCAAGGATGGTGATAAAAGATACAACTTGCACAAACACCATGACAAACGCATAAATATCTTTGAATTTTCGTTACCTAAGGCTTCAACATAGCAATTAAAAGTAGCAGAAAGAAACATCTACAGACATAAATGCATAGCTAGAATATTCAACATGATATATGGAACCTCCATGACAACACAAGAAAAAAGTCCAATTGCTGAAACAACCACACAAGTTCTACTTCCTTAATTGCTGAAACATCACTGACGAGTCATAGCATCATTCTACTTCTATCAAACTGAATATTGGCATCAAAAACTACAAAAGATTACTGAAACAAATTTTAAAAAAGCCTTGCATGTACAACAACAGCAATCGAAAGGACAAGAAGGTTGGAATCAATTACAAAGAGGAATGATGTAAAATTTAAAACAGAACATCAAAATCAATTACTTTAGGAGACACTTTCGAAAATAGTATTAAATATGAGCACACCTCACATAATCTACATGCAACATGAGCACCAGATGCACATGAACTGATCATTTATTGTGTCTTTATGGTATACATCGAAAAAAGAGAGTTCTTAAACTAATTTCTGAGCTCTAAAATTTTATGCTCCATGTATGTTAGCTGAACTTTTTAATTCATTCTTCCCCAGATTGCATACAAGAAAAGAAAATAAGTTACATGAATGCAATTAAAAATTTAAAAACTGTGCAATATAAAAGACAACCACAACTAAAGTAAGTCAAAGTTCATTAGACGAAGCCAGTATATTTTTCAATAGCATCATGTAATTTCTTATGATTCTCATTAGCATAAAAACTAAGCTAGCACAAATGCATAATTTCTTTTACTGGCTCTCAACTGCAGCAAGTAATATCTCAGCAAAATTATAGCTCAAGATCCATGTTGCTTCGGCTTTTCTTAAGACAAACCCTTTTCTAAGTTTTATGAAGTAACGAGTTCTTTTATTGTAACAAAATTGTCAAGGTAGTGAATGCTGGCAGCATCAGGACATAAATCCATCTCGGACATCTCAAGAAAAACAATTTTTTGCTTCTTCGATCTTCCTCTACTGGCAGAATCCTTGGACCCTTCCTGATTTCATGTTTCCTCGTTTACAAAGCCCAGTGAGAACACAATTGTGTGAGCAATGGCATTCAAGCAAACAGTTCATGAATCAACAGAATCACCTGGCTATTCAGCCAACTCTAAGTTAAATTCATCAAAGATTCGAGCTTTCCTTCCGTAAGCTCCTATAAAAGGATTGCAAAAGACCACGGCCGGGCACAGAACCAGAACGTGAATCGGTCGAACAATTGGCGTGCAAGATCCGAGTGACCCAACTCGCAGGGGGGATTCATCTCTCTCTCCTGCAAATTCCGTCACGGCACTCGACTCTTTCTTCTCCTCATCACGTAGTTTTCGCCATCCACGCACTTCCTTCGCATGACACGATCAGCGTCTCTTCCTTCGCTATATATATATACTGAGACACACAAACAACGACCTTCTGCAGCACTCTCGACGGCCATGGCCCGCGTTCTCGTTCTCCTGGCAGTGCTTGCAGCCGCCTCGGCATGGGAGTCTGCGAAGGCTCCCCCATGCAGCAAGATTACAGAGATGATCGTGCCGTGCATTCCCTACTTGATCGACAAGGCGGCGCACCCAGGACCGAAGTGTTGCAGCGGGGTGAGAGACCTGCGCAAGGCGACCAAGACCCACGACGACCTGGTGGCCATCTGCGAATGCCTCGAGCGCGCCGCCCACCTCTTCCCCGGGATCGACCACCCGCGCGCCGACAACCTCCCCCACCTCTGCGGGGTGCGCTTCAACCTCACCTTCTCCCCCTCCGTCGACTGCAAGAAGTGAGACTCTCTCTCTCTCTCTCTCATATGTATATATATATATAGCTATCAACAGTACTATCATCATACACTGATCCATACACGGTGAGTGAGATCACAAGCTCTTCTTCCGTTGGCAGAATTCCAGGGCCCGAAGAGCTGGAGAAGCATCTGCTGTAGACTCCCTCCATCAGCGTCTGCATGCATGAGCAATCAATCGCAGCAAAAGGAGGTCGCAACAACATGATTGCTCAGTGTTCACTTTACTCGGAAATCTCACTCTTCCTTCAGTTGATTCAATAAAATTGTATGGTCTCATGTTCATCAAGATATGTGAATCAGCACTACATGACAAGTGTTGAGGATCACAAAGCACCAATGACAGATACTTCTTTTTTTTCTTTTTCGTTAAAAGAAAAACCATTTATTCATGCATTCATTCATTCTCTTAAGATGCTGATCAACAAAATACACGAAATAAAAATAGATAAATCCACATGAAGATCATTGAACTTTAAGAAAATAATATTTTGGATACTTTTTAATAATCCTTTCTTAATTTCACCAATTATTTCACCTTTGTATTTTCCAACATTTTTTAACGGGTATCAAAGTAAATTTATGTTTCATTCATTATATTAACAGTCAATATATGGTGATTTACTGTTTTATATTTATATATACTGTAAAATTAAATCTAAGGTATATGTGTAATTTAAAATCCTATTAAAATTGGTCCAATTCGGCTCAATTAGGCCGGACCGAAACGGTTCGGCCGGTTCCGGTTTGGGAGACGTGGCCGCGCGGCTACATCTCATGTGCGCCGCACGTGTGAATAACTAGTCACCGAGCGATTTGGGCCTTCTCTCGAGGACGGGAGAGCGAGAGGGCGATTGGGAGACGAGCGCAACCCAAGCAAAGCCATGAAGAGGATTCCTCGAATCAAGTTCCCGCAGAGGCATCCGCCCAAGCCCACAGGTCCTTCCATCCTCTTCTCTTTCTCCCCCTCGTACATTTCCTTTTAGGGTTTCTAAATGCTCCTTCTTACGATCGATTTGATTGATTCTCGTAGGATCGTCCCCGGCTTCTGATGAGACAACGTTCCTCGAATCAAGTATGTTAACTTCCTTTTCCCCTTCGTAGTGGAGGTCTTTCATGTTTCCATCGGCGTAGAAGAATGTAGTAATCGTGCTAATGATACGTGCTTACGGTCACGGGGTTACGTCGATCTAAAAGATCGATTTGGGTTTCCCCGACCGACTATATGGTTGAATTTGAGATTCACGTCTTGGTTATGTTTGTTTTCTGTCAGGGAAAGAAGGAACAGAAATCACGTTGTTAACAATGTGGTTGAAGGTGGGCATGAATTGTGTTTTATGAACGTAATGCCAATGAGATCGAAGGGGAATAAAGAATCATATCTCATCGTGTACAAATCCGGATATGTAACATCTTAGTTGATTATTTATATTGAGAATATAATTAATATATTAATTTTTTTCTTCCGCTTGTTGATTGATTCCTAATTGCTTTTACTTTCCCATGAAAAGAAGACATGTAATTATGAATTATGCACATAACTTCATAGATATCAAACATTAAAGTTCCTAGCGGGTCTCAATTACAGGATTGAACCATGTACAAAATATTTGGTGGAGCATGTCATAACTAAATTTTTTATCTGCAGTATGATTCCCTCCCTGAAAAAATAATTAAATCTAGGGAAATTTAGAATAATTGCCCACTTGAGATAAGTGGTTATGCTTTTAAGCCAGCTATGTTCTACTTCCTGATAATACTTCATTGAATTGAAAATCCTCGGTTTTTTATCTTATTTGTTCTATTGCCCTTGTTATCGTGGAAGGAAAAAAGTAGCCTCCCATAAAAATTTGTAGAGCTGATGGGTGCAAAGGTAATTAAGGATAAGCCTTAAATAAGCCCCAAAGTATGATTGTTGTTCGTCTTCTTTGCTAATTTTCAATCCCCAAGATTGTAATCTTTCTCTTCTCCTTTAGCCTCACCTCTCATCACCAATCCCTCGCCCCTTCTTGGTTGTCCTCCTTTGAAACACATAAGCCTCTTAAGATGTTTTCTTTTTGCCTTACATCGGTTGCATGTCCTTAGCAATAAAAAGTGGTCGGAAACAATGATCATAAGGAAACATCACAAATGTTAACATCAAATAACTAGAAAATTAGAGGATAATGAAAAAGGTACCTATCATTGATCTCTTTCCATTCTGCAAATTAAATTATTTCTTCCCAAATGGACTTACACAGCCTTTAGAACCTTGCTTAAGGCTTTAAAGGTGCATTTTCCCTTATCAAAATGCATAAGGTGGAGTAAAAAAGAGTAACATGGCAAACGGAGATGTCTCAGGTGGATAAAGTGCCATGAATTAGAACACATCTTGTGAAAGTGCCAAATCTGTCTGGTGGGCAATTTGTAATTTTCCTACTTCTCTGTGCCCGAGCCTCTAGTAGATCCTTTGTTGTAGATGAATCTTGATGAGAACAAGAGAACAATCACTGCTTGCAGTTCTTGGATATAATCATTTTGGGCCCATTCCAGCACATAAACAGCAGAGAAATAGCACTGGGACTTTCGTAGTAAGTAGGCCCTTTACATCTTGGAGCCCTAGATTCATCACGTTAATTGTCACTGTGTACATGTTGTGTTAGTGTCCTGTTCATGTCAGTGTATCCATGCTTCCTAGGCTCTACGGTGATTGCAGATATTGTGTGACATTTTGCTAGGTATTAATGGGCCTTACTCTATCAGTTATGGACATAAGTGATACATCTTCTTTTCCAAGTTTTACCTTCCTATGGTAATTCATATTTGCATTTCTTTTTTAGATGTAACATCCCAACCCAAGGCTGCCTCATCATCTGGCGATGCTCGAAGTTATAGATTCCGATCGGATGTTCCTGCTCCACCTTCCTACACTGCTGCAGGTGGAAAGGCTTCACTCTTGCCAAAGCGCATACCAATATCAGATAAAGAGATCGAGACCATTTTGGTGCGTGAAATTCTTTCTTGTGATTCTTACTTGATAAGGTCTATCTATCAAAACTATATAATTAAGCAATGAAGTCACTGCCTATTTTCCTTTTTTATATGTTTATTTGTTCTCTGTAAGAAGTTTTTCTACTAAACTATTTTTCTTGGTGCTATATAATATTTACCTGTGCCAGATTATTGTTGCTAATATAATAGATGGCAGCTCAGAAAGTGTTTGTTAGGTGTGGACTCTTTAGGAGCTGCGTCTAGGAGTCTGATATTTAATTGAGAATATTCCATGGAGTATAATTTTGTCCATTTTATGACAAGTCTATTAATATCCTATGATGTGTATTATGACAAGTCCTTACTACTTGTAAAGAACATTTGCATGAGCAGCTAGTCTGTGTCTGCTGATACTTTAGATCTGCTGGGTTAGTTTAGAACATCTGTCCCAACCAGTTTGTTGCCGGGACAGGAATGTGTCCTTTTCCTAAGGGATTGCTTATGTGCTATTCCTGAAATGTGACTTCCATCTTTTTCTCCTAAATTTTCAACCATCGAAGAAGTTTTTCTTTAGGTCAGTTCTGCTTCTATCAATAATCTTGATCTCTGTTTTCTTTATGTAACTGTGATTTCCTTTTTTCTTTTGGTTGACTTTTGATCTTTGTCAAATATCTGTGTTATGTGGGAGTTGGAGCATGTAACAAACTGTCCTACTAATCATTCTTTAGTATAAGTGTGATCCACTAGCTATGATCATTTCTTTAGATGCATATATGTTCCAAGTCAAATAATCTTCTGACTTGGGTTCTATTAAAAAGAAAGTGGGTTTCTTTTTGTTGGCAATATGTGAACTTCATTTTTTATCGTGTAAAAGAACTATGCAATCCTTGAGTTTGAAGGCACAAAAGTAACTCTCCTTTTTGTTATAGTCATATTATCCTTTGTCATATGCCCTGATGAGCATTCTATTTTTCGCAGTTGGGTGGCTGTTTTTGATTATGCAAGCTGTCGGTTGCGCTCGTGAGTAATATTGCATGAGTGTTATGGTTGTATCTCAAAGTACATTTCTTAGGCCACAAACTTTTTGTTCCCTGGAATTTGAGGTTTGACCCTTAATTTTCCTGCATTTATTGTAATATTAATGTAAGATTACCAACTCAAAAGATGGTTACTTTTTTTACCAGTTGTAAGGTGGCATTTCTTTCTAAGCTCTTTGAGATGCTCAACTTCATTGGATCTTGAAACTTGTTCTAGTGATGGTAACACCTTTAAGTTTGCTTCTTGAAACATGGATCTGTGACAGGTCATGCTTGTGTTATGGAACATTCAAGCTTGGATGATTGTTTGCTTATCTTACATTTGGTTTGCTTATCTTAAGTTGATGATATCATTCATTGGAACCATTAGTTTAGTCGAAAAGATAGAAAACCATTACTAGTATCAGATTAATTGAAGCTAATTTGTAGGTTTCTAGTTTCATTGGAGGTGCAATTATCAAACTCCCTTTCCTTCTTTGAAAGAAATTAGGATGCACACAATCTTATGCTTAAAAATGAAAATTAAATCCAGAAGATAGTTAAATGAAAAGTTCAATGAACCTCCTAAACAATTGATCAAGAAAAATGTAATGACTAGGATTTCTATAAACATTATTGACTCTTATATACATATTCACATTGGCTTTTCTTGATAGATAGATTGTTCCCTATTGTAAGAAAAGAGAGGTGAGAAGAAAGAGGAAGGTCCCCAACCTCACCAGAGCCTGTATTGTATACTGTGTACATGTATGCATATCCAAGCTACATCCTCCTCCCACCGGAGCCTGACTCTCTCTGGCAGTTGAAGTAGACGGCGGCGACCGGCGATCCGAGGTTATAGAGCTCCGCGAAGTCCCTGGTGTTGAAGTTCTGCCGCCACCCGGGAGCATCCACAGCTTGCCGGCTGGGGAGCTGCCTGAAGAGCACGAAGACGTAGCGGTGGATGCCGAGCTGAGGCCGCGGGCTCTCGTAGCACACTACCTCCTGACCTGCAGCCAATGGGTGTTGCATGCATGCATGGCTGTGAGACCTATTTCTGCTCGAGTGCGAGAGTCACGTATGCAACGAGGTATTTGATCTTGTTCTGCTTGAAGAGATCTTACCGTATGTTGCTTCGGTCTTCGCGGGGATGTCGGTGATCAACCTGCAGCAGTGGAAGGATCAAAAACTAGTTTATTTCGTTGAGACTTCAGTGAGAAAAGCTCGCACAAGAACTAAACGAACGAGACAATCACACGGTGTGATGCAACAGATATGAGTACGTATCTTCTTCTTCTGCTTGTATTGAAGCATCAAAACTGGATTATTTTGTTGAGGATTAAATGAGAAGATGATGGTATGAAGCAATACGTACTTCTTAAGCAAGCAAAAACTGTGTGTTGCATGCATCCTCAGCTTGTAGATGGTAGAACATACAACTAAATAAAGCAAAATAATGATCGTGTTGAGGAATGGAAATGACTTCAAAGCTTTCTTCTTCTTAGAGGCATCAAAACTAGTTTCTTTTGTTGCGAATTCAATGAGAAGAACTTGCTAAAAGACCATGTGTTGAGTCATCAGCTTGTAAAATGGTAGAACATATGACTGCATAGAGGGAATAATGATGGGGTGAAGCAACTAGACATGACAACACTGCCTTCTTTTTCATCTTCTTCACAATTAAAAAGGCTAAGTAGTGTACATAAAGATATAATACAAAGATTTCTTTCATTATAGTGACCCACTTTGGATCTATAATGGACAAGTTATGTGCTGGCTGACAAGTTCCTGTTCCTTGTAGATCAAAGTGAGCTTCAGATATAAAAGCAAAAAGGTGAGCTTGCATTGCATAGAATGACAAGTACTCACTACTTCATGCATGTGGTCTGGAGCTGCATGTATTCTACTATACAAAATTAGGGGATATATATATGACATATCACTCTTACAGAGACAGTTGTTCGATCATATCAGGATGTACAAAACTGATCAACAGCAAAATCACTGGTTTTCCCAAAAAAGAAAACAAATCTTTGCTAAGGTTACTGACCAGACTACACGATTGAGGTGTACTTGTACTTAATTGTTTTGATGGTTATTCTTAGAAAGGAGGAGATTACACTACATTTATCTGTGGAGAGAGAGAGAGAGAGGGAGAACTGGAGAGAAGCAAAATCGGCAGCAGAAGCAGGATATGCATAAGATAGAATAAAGTATTGTTGGTGGAACCCATTATGAACAGAGTCTTTTATCACCATTAAGGCTTTCTTTTTCTTTAATCTCTTCTTTATTGGTAAAGAGTATATCTGCAATCCATATCACTCCTCCAAACAGTTCCTCAGTCATATCAGCTGTACCATGCTGCAACAGATCATCAGCAAAATTGCTGGTCTTCTCTAAGGTGGATGGCCAGATTACACCACTAAGGTGTTCTTCTCTTTGTTCTAATGATTATTCTCAGAAAGGAGGATAGATGCAAAAGTAGCAAGAGCTGAACAAGTGTATATATGTACATAAGATAGAATAAAGTATTTTCTGTTGGAATGCATTATGAAAGGTGCATATATGTACCATGTAATGAAGACCTCACTGGTATGCTTAGTCTTGGAAGATAAGCACTTCTATGATGTGTATCTAATATAAGCTTAAGGAAGCAGCTATGAAAGAAGTGCTCACCAGTGCAAATACTCTCTGAGGGTTGGATCACTTGGACTGGGAGCATCTGGGTCTACCATAACCTGAGAGACATGCTTTAGACATCAAGAACCACTCAAAAATCTTCTGTGTTGCAGAAGATACTTAAGGTATTGGGATATATATATATATATATATATATATATATATATATAGATGCTAAGACTGGTCACTGCATCAAGAACATATATCAGCAAGTATATGGATGTATCATAAGCATGGAGACTTACCAGTGTGTAGTTGGATCTGAAGTCACTTCCTCCAACCTCAACTCTGGGCTGCTCAGCCACAGCTGATGGCTTAAACTCACATCCATTGGTGACCTCCCTGGTGCTATATATCACTCTGAGATGTACACTTCTTGTGAACGGATCAAGGACATCCCCAATCACCCTGCTCACAGCTAAAGAATCCCTGTCTCTTTGCATGAGATCCAGTACTTCTCTGGGTGCAAATGGACTGAGAGAG